GTGAAAGGAAATGTTTTGTGTTGTTTTTTTTCCTGTTTGTTTGTTAATCCTCACCCAAGGCTATTTTTCCCATTGATTTTTAGAGAGAGTGCAAGGGACGGGGAGAGACAGAGAGAAACATTGATGTAAGAGAGACACAGCTATTCATTGCCTTCCCCACTTGCCCTGCCCAGGGCAGGGGATCGAGCCTGCAACCAAGGTGTGTGCCCTTGACTGGGATCTAATGGGAGACTTCAGTCTGCAGGCTGACACTCTATCCACGGAGCCAAACTGGCCAGGGCACATACTATCTCTTTAACCCTCCGCCTAGTTCATTGAGGATGATGCTGTGGTGACTGTAGCCATTGACCAGAGGAGGAAGCCGAGCTGAGGCAGTGTGAATTGCTTGCACAAGGTCATGGTGGCAGAGCAGAGCTGGTTATGGAAGGCTATGTGAAGGGGGCTGCCCCCAGAGCGGGGCTGAGACCACCCTGGCTCCCCTTCTTAGGCCTCCAAGTCTGTGAATGGGTGTCAGAGGGCACAGGCCACAGACGACCCTTGAGAGATGGGGCAGTGGGGCTCTCACAGTGCTACCCTCTGCTCCACATTCCAGATATCCTGCCCACCAGACATCCAGTGAGGAGGCTGTGCACTGCATTCATCCACATGGTCACACACACTGGACTCAAAACAGGCCACACCTCACTGTGTGGCCTGGGCAAGGCCTTCTCTTCTCCCAGCCTCACTCCCCTCACTTAGAAGCCAGACAGGTGACAATACCTCCTCCACTGGACAGCATGTGCAAAGGGCTACGCATGGTGCATGGCTTACAATGCGCACTTAGAAAGTGACACGGAAATTGCTTCTGAACCCCACGGCCTGCTCGAGTGGAAGAGGACAAGAGCCACTAGGAACGAGGGAGATAAGTGGGCAGTCTTACCCTGCTCTTCCCAGCGCCACACCCTCTATTGCTTCCAAGCCCTGGACAGGACAACCCTTGCTAGCATTCCATGCCTGGAGAGGGTGCCCGGACCTGGGACACGTGGCCCTCATAACTGCCAACCCAGCTTTGGGCCCCAAAGCCCTCCTGACCTGGCAGCCATGAGCCCCTAGGCCAGAGTCCACCCTGGGCCCTCCCTCCCCTGAAGAGGCTCCCACACCTTGGCTAGCCCCTCCCTAGCTCATGACCAGGTAGCTCATGACTTCACACAGGTTGATACATGACATCTATAACTTCTGCCAATTACCCACTGGAGTAATGGATGTCAGCCTCAGAGCACCTGGGGGGTGGGGGTGGGGATTAGATTAGGCTCCAAGGAGTTACAGTTTGCCCACCGTGGCGGGGGTGGTGTGACATGAGGGCTGCCCTTAATGCCAATACAGGAGGAAGGGGCCATGGTGGTCAGCAGTTTCATGGAGTTACAGGATGAAGGCCACAACCGGCCCCCACTCCTGGGTCCAGGGCAGAGGATATCCCGGTAACTCCCGCCTTTGGGCTGCTGGGCGCAGAGAAGCAGCCCCGGCCTGAAGACCTTGTGTGTTCCCGGAGCAGGGCTCCATGATTTCATCCCTTAGGGCGCGCCGCCCACCCGGCCTGGCCGCTTCCCACAGCCGAGGCGGGGCCGGCT